ACATTGAAAGCACTGGGAGGTGGCACCTTCAAAGACTAGGACATGCATCTAGCAAAGGCCACCTGGCTAGTCAACACAAGAGGATCTGCCAGTTGAGCTGGCCTGGCTCAGTCAAAACCTCCACGTGCTGTAGATGGGGATAAAGTCCCTGTGGTGCACGAGGAATATGTTGGGAAAAATGGTCTGGTTTAGTCCTGCCCCAGGCAAAGGTAAAGGCAAACCCATCCACGGGATTGCTTTTGCTCAGGGACCTGGGTGCACCTGGTGGGTGATGCTGGACAATGGAGAGTCCAATGCGTACCACAGGGGGACTTGATTCTGGGTGAGAACACACTGTGAATTATGCTGTGCCTTTGTAAATTGTTGTTTTGTTATTGTTAACTGATAAATGGCAGCTGGACATGACACAGATAGTATAGAATAAAGGGGTGGATTATGTCCTGGTTCAACTAGGATAGGGTTAAGTTTCCCCAGCAGAGAGGGAGGGGATCTCCAGCCAGGTTATTCATACCATGCTGAGGTCAGGTTCAACGCGGCAGTGCGGGAAGGTTTTGTTTGTGGTTTTGGTCACGGGGAGCACGCGCAGCAGGCTGGCTGTGTTCGCTGTGGTATTTCTCTGTATATCTTTTGTCTTGTTTACTGTTATTACTGTTTATTGTTGTTGTTGCTATTGTTGTTGTTGTTCAGATTGTTTATTACACTGTTGTATTAAATCTTTCCTTATTTCAACCTCGGGGTTTGTGCCCTTCTTGTGTCTGAGGGTGAGGGAGGGACAACGGCAACGTGGTCTCCGGTCCTGGCAGGGCCTAAACCACCACAAATAGCTTTGCTTTTAACCCTGCCAGATACTGAGTGCTTCTCAAGGATGGACAAAATACTGGTCAGCTTGTGAGAATCCTGGTGAGAAAGGTTGATTATGCTGCATTTTAGATCACATTAAATAATAGAAGGGTTCTAGGGGCAAAATATTTCTCTACTACAGGTGATGGGAGGTGGTCAGCAGAGCTGCCTGTGTAAGTGGACCCAAATAAAATTTATATTCAGAAAAACTCACAACAGTAACAGGTACATTAGGATATCCCGTCTCTGGAAAATGTGGCTGATATTCTACATTATCTCATGACCTGACATTATGAATACTTCCTAATGTATTTCCTATCTTCCATGTGTACAACTGGGTGGAAGAAAATGTGAATGAGTATTCTGGTTTCAGGTGGTAAGGGGATTTTTAGAGAGAAGGAAGGAGGCGGCAGTGGGTGGGTGAGAAAAAATGAGGCGGAGAGAAGCACGCTGCATCTAAATGAAGTGCTGTATTCTCCTTCTCCAGAGCAGCCACAGTGAGGCTATTCTACTGGCAAGAAGAGCTGCTGTTACTCGTGCTGTTAAGACTTCAATTAATCTAAGGAGAGAAGTCTGACTCTGAAGAGTTAGTGTGCTGCTTGACCCCATCACAAGATAATATTCTGTAGCAAATGCTGCAAAGAATGTGAACGCAACAGCTTCTGGGGAGAAAAATTGGCAGGAAGACAAGTAGAAGCAGACTGTGAGACACTTCTTACAAACTGTGCTTAGAAACCAATCTGTTCTTCTTTATTGTTCTCTGAAGGGATGGATTATAAATGGTACAGAAGGCCTTGAGGCCTGTGATAATACAGTATCTGTAGCTTTTCCAGTTGGAGGCTTAAAAACTCTTAATGCTTTTTATGCAAAAAAAGGGTAAGAATCCATTCAAAAAAAATTCTGAAAATGTACATGTCAAAGCCTCAGCCTCAGGAAGAAATTGTTATTTTAGGCAGGAGAGGAAAGATTTGTTTAATTGAAAGAACAATATTTTAAATATTTTTAAACTTCTTTCCTGATTTGCTTATAGCTTGGCTGAGATAAATATCTAATGTTGGAAGTTTTTAATATGAAAGAGGTCCCTCCAATGTTATCTCTACTTCAGTCTGTCCTTAAAAGTACGTGCAACGTCAAACTTCCCTCAGAGCAGTACGCTGAATTCAGAATTTTTGATGATGTCTTGAAAACATGTGTGTTTCTCTAGAAACATAAAATGTTACATGTCATGAGTGTACAAGCTCAGTGCACCAATGAACAGTCCACTCTTGTCCTGCTGAATGTAAGCATGAGCGCTATGTTTTGCTCTGTTGATAGCCTATATGCATTTTTACAAAGTCAAATGTTTGAACAAAATATGTGGAAGCAGGGTTGGATACTGTGTCATGGGTTTTAACCACTCTCTGCATCAGCAGAATTGGCCTGTGCTCTAAATATGGTTTCGTACTGTACAGTTGTTGACAATGATATATATTTGCTTGCCCTGAAACCCCCTCGTGACTGGTCTAATGTATGGTAGGCAGTTGGGAGAACCCGATTCAGCCACTAAGGGTTTTGTTCCTTCTGATTATCTTTTTTCTTTAAAATAATATCTTGTCTCTGGTTGTCTTATATCAAATGGAAGGCAAATAATTAGCGAAATTAGGTGAAGTGGATTAAAATGTGATGTGATTTTTGTGTGATTAAACAAAAATCGTCTTGAATAGCTAGGTAGTAGGCTGGCTAACAGGGCCATCTGCTGGCAGATGCACTCTAACGAGGTAACTGAATTTTTCTGGGAACAGTCTAGTTCTGAGGGAGGTTAATGGCTTGATTCTAACTTCCACATATCAGTCACTCTTCTTAAATTACCTTTGTAAGCTGCTTCATACTTTATAGTAATTCCTAAATTCGTTGTAGAACTTACTGTAAGGAGAACTGGTTAACTATAAATTTAAGCTCCATTCAGATGTTGAGTGAGGTGTTTGATTTGGGAGTAGTGTAGCCATAGATTACACCACAATTTAAAACTATATTCTGAGGAAGCATGGGTTTGTAGATGAATCTTAGATCAGTGAACAACGATTAATGTTAATACTCTTCACACAAAATGTCTACATTAGGTACATTTTGATTAAAACTACAGATCAGATTTCTTGTTAACAAATGTAAAAAGCCAAATGGTCTGGCATACTAAGATTGTTAAATTTCTTGTATCTTTAATATTGAAAAGGCTTCTGGATGTATTTTAGTTTTTTACAAGCACTGTGTAATCTAGCATTTCAAAGGGAACAGTCATGTTCGTATATATGTGTGCTCATGTTTGCCTGTCTGTATGTCCAATTTGTGGCAACTGTTGGATACATTTGATGACTGGAAATATGATAGGTTGTAATTGAGAGGTTATGATCTATCCCTTTGCAAGTTTATAATGAATAATATATGGAATATATGTGTGTATAAGAATAAATTGAGTAAACAGCATGTAAGAATGCTTCTTGGTTTTGTCTTTTGAGAACCGGCAGTTTCCTTTCAAGATTATGTCATTACAATAAAGGTGCAGGGTTCTTTAATGTAACTGATCTTATGCAAATTACAGTACATCAGTGTGCACTGTTTGGCAGATGTGTATTGCTGGTGTAACAGGTCACAAGATTCTCTCAAGCCTGTAGGAAAGCAAGCTTATTCTTGTTTCCAGTAGTGTTTATAGTGGCACACTTAACATCATACCACTGGTCACTCCTGTAATTACAGTAAGAGAAGCGAAGCAGTAGCTACTTGCTGACATAATGGCAATGAACGGTGGACTAAAGGTATCCCCTGAGAATGCACTGATCTGACTGTATCCAGAAATCTTTCATCTTCCGTCTCTGAATTTTGCTGTCTCTAACAGCATATACCTTCTTCCCACAGAAAAAGTAGGTTATTACATAATGCCTGTGGGCTGCTCTGACCTTTTTGACTTCTAAACTGTCTTCCATTTTTTTCCCACATTGACAATTCAGCAGATGAAGTGATGGAGATGGATTTCATTACAGGTGCTTTGACTGAAATTATTTATTGCTTACCTATTAAACCTGGCCATAAATGTCATTGATTTATAGACACCACAAAAGCACAAACATCAGCCAGTGAGTGCCAGGAGTGCTACTATATAGAAATTATTTGTATGGAGAGATCAGCTGCCTTCTAGACAAAAAAATGACACTAGTAAATCATCTGTATTTTATATTTTGCGTGGATCAGAACTATTCTGGACCAATTCTTTTTGGCAGTTAATTCTATATTTTCACCTTTCTATTTTAGTGACTGTTTTCTTGTTCTAAAAGGATGGCAAAATGGGCTGCACTATGTAAGGAAGGATGGATGGACTGTGGAAAGGAGGAAGTAATCTCTTGTCTGTGAGAAATTTATAAGAAAATGCCTGCAGTACTAGGAAACTAACTGGGCAGCATGAGTAATATAGACAGAGCTAATCAAGTTCTGACCATCAGGGTAGATGAGAGGCCAGGTGTGATAGTTACATGTTCATAGCCCTATGGCTAAATGCAAGAGCTGTCCAGTAACTGATTTGTAAAATCCTGTCAAGTTCACCTGGGAAAAATTGTACTGTGTTGGGAAATGTTTTATCTGCAGAGTCCAGTTTTGCTCCTGGTTGACTGTGCTGAGTACTGGTCTCAGAGTTGCCTACACCAGTGGAAGTTCTTGTTTGCAGAGCAATACTGGGCTACTGCAGACATTGCCTGTGTTGTCTGACTTTGGTGTAGCTGCATCTCTTCCATGTGGTACTACTTTGTTAGGTGAAAACATTGTTTTGTCAGCATGGGAGTAGGTGGACTGTGGGGTTTTTTGCTGTGACATCTTGGATGTTGACGTACAGTGTGACTATACCAATGAAATTACTGAGGCAGATCAATTCTTTGTGAGGGTCCACAGCTTCCACAGAACTGGTTCTGAGCAAGATATTGCTGAACATAGAGGCAATAAAGAGTGGCCCACCAAAAAAAAAAAAGTGAAAGGGTTCTTCGTGAATTGGTCAAAATCTTACATTTGTAGTAAAAATTGCAATGCAATCTAGTTTTCCTAGTGATACCCCGTCCGTTTGTCTTCTCCCTCAGCATTAGTTTAAAAGCAGGCAGCTCTCAGGTTACGGAGGGAGGGAGGGTTCGTTAAAGCCCCAGGCGGTGGCAGGGACAAAGACCATCGATCTGCTCTAGGACTGACAGCTGCTGAGGACTGAGCTGCTTCTAGCAGCTCATCAGTGCCTCAGCATCCTTATGTTGCTGTGCAACTTGGGGTTTAGGTTTTTTTTGTTAGTTTTGGGTGGTGATAAACGTTTTTGTGCCCTTGAGTGAACAGTTTTAATGTGCAGAAATGAAGAGAAATAGCCTGTTCTTCAGTTCCATCTCTCTCTGGTTGCTGTTTACAGCAGTGATGCTTCAAGGTGAGAATACTGCTTGATAGCTAGATGTTGCATTGAGGTTTATTTTACTCAGGAGGTGGTGTCCTGATGTGTATTACATGGTCTTTCATCTGTTTAGTTTTACTTTGTCTTACTGATGCATAGACAAAATGAATGATCATGTACAGCCAGAACTTAAATGCTTTTTGTGAAGCTTTGATTTTTTTAGGATTTCTTTTTGTTCAGGAAGGTTTGCTTTGAACTCTTTATTAGTCCAGGAAGTCACTGTGAGTCACCAGAGAGTGATGTACACTAAAGCACTTGCTTCCTACCGAGTGCCAGCTGGCACTTGTGCAAGTCTTGTGAGTGTTAACTGTCCTTGCCTCTTGCTTGCAGAAGTGTGTGACTATAAAGGTAATACAGAGACTGCCTGTGGAAACTGTCATTCACAAAACAGTGTGGAACAGCAAAAGTGTCATTTAAAACAAAGCTTTAGTGAATTGTCCTTAGTGATTAAATCTAGATAGCAAGAAGCATCTTCAAATACGTGGTTTGGGAAGGTGTTAGTGCAAGGATGTGTTCATACATCATGCAGTTGCCAATTTGTGAAGAAATCAGCTCAGACATCTTCCAGGTGGTAGTTAAAGAAAGTAAATTCTGAAAGTAGCATGAGTCTATCAGTGCTGCATTTAGGGAGGTACCACAAGTCATTAGTCTGGGAGCAGGTTTGATTTCAGACTTTGCTTTTAATTTTAGCTTGGCAGATGTGTGACTAAGTAATCTCTATGCCTATGAAAGGCATCAGTAAAATAAAGGTAATGATATTTACTTTCAAAAAAGGCAGGAATCTCTGGATGCAGAGGTGCGGTTTTTTGAGTGGGTGTGAAAAGCTAGAGTTAAGCTATTCATCTAGTACAGGTGAACACTGTCCTTATTTGGTATTCAGGTATACTTCTGTTTATGCACTAAGGGATATTCTACAGTATATGAGTGATAAATACACTTATAGCAAATACTTCTTTTCTATGGCTTCAAGTAGTATCTTCTGATACTGCTCCATGCTTAATCTGATGTATCTGTTATCTAGCTGTAGAATCAGCCAAAGGAAAATACGCTCACATGCTGTTTAATGAGCTGTTTGAAGACTACTCAAATGCTCTAAGACCAGTGGAAGACACAGATAAAGTACTGAATGTCACCCTTCAGATCACATTGTCCCAAATTAAAGACATGGTGAGTAAGAGTACAGTTCTGTTTTTCTAAAGATGTGCAGAAATGTGCTGGCTGTAAACCTTTTACATGGAGTAGGAGAAGCCACTTGCATTTTGTTGTGACAACTTCAGTAGTGCTATCTCACTAGGGTCATGTTGTCCTTCATAGATTCTTATCTAATTGCAAACTAAGACTTCCATTATAAGACTGCAGACTTATAGCTGCTGAATTGTTAAGACTTTTTTTGTAGTTTAGGTGTTGGTATTGCACCCTTCAGGCATTTTTTTCTGAGTTTTAAATAGAAAGAGCAAATGCTTTTTCTAACATGCAATTAATGTCTACATGAATGCCCTATTTTGGCCTTCAGTAATCTTTTTATACATTTGGTTCAGCCAGATATATTTTTAAGGCAAAAGAAAATGTGTCTGGAAGGGGAATGGAAAATCACTTTCAAGACTTCTGAATTACAACTTCAAGGCCTCACCAAGCTTTCAGAGAATTTGTTAGACTGAACCTGTTTAGCTGTGTGGTATTCTGAATCTTGCAAAAGGAAACTCTTAAGATACTGGGAGCCTTAGACAACTATGATTAAAGCTAGGGGGAGGGTGGAGGGGGGGTAAGAAGGTTTAGACAATAGAAAGTCCAAATAAATAAGCTCCCTATCAGTGTATGGGCGTATGTACCTGTCTGAGAAGTACTCTGTGGCCTGTGAGCGTTCTGGCCTATTTTGGGCTCTGCTTTAAAGCTGTACAACAAACGCTGTCTGCATCTAAGATGTGATTTTGTCACCTTCAGCTAGAAATATTTCTACATTTTTATGCAGGATGAAAGGAACCAAATTTTGTCAACTTACTTATGGATTCGACAAAGCTGGTATGATGCATACCTCAAATGGGACAAAGATAAATACGATGGGTTGGATTCTATCAGGATTCCAAGCAATTTAGTTTGGAGACCAGATATTGTCCTATATAACAAGTGAGTGTGGCTGGAGAAAATTGGCTTGAATATTTGTCTGAGGGAGGGAGGCGGTTGAAGAAGGAATTGACCCACAGAATCTGAACTTTTGCCACTTTACCTTAATTAGCAAGGGGTATGTTTGTTGTCTTAACATTTGTTGTTGATAATCTAAATATTTTGTAATAAAGCCATATAAATGATCTGCTAATTGATTATGCTACACAGCAAAGCTGTTCTGAACTTCTCTGCACTGGGAATTGAATACACTGCCAGATTAAGTGCTTTCTGCTGAGGCTGAAGAGCTCTGGAAGATTGTCCACAAAAAAGTGGTACACAAAGGCTGCAGTCCTTGTCTGCTCTCCCAGGCCAGTAGTGACTGGCAGATTATTTTCCTACTGTATCCTGTTTGAGGTCAAGTTTGAAGAAGCTGTAGCCAGCAAATAGAACAGCACTGACTTTTGGCATTAATGGGCACCGGTACCTGTAAATAATAGTTAATAGCAAGTTCCTACCAAAATTCAGTATAAATATAAATATGATTTCAGAAGCATGCCTTTAATGGTGTGAAGCGAGGGTCCTCCCCCTTGTCACACCTTCCCTAGCCCACGCTCTAGGTTGTTGCCTGTCAATCCTGACTGTTACTTTTCTGTTTTTTAGGGCTGATGATGACTTTTCAGAACCAGTGAATACTAATGTTGTGTTGAGATATGATGGAAAAATCACTTGGGATGCACCTGCTATCACAAAGAGTTCATGTGTAGTGGATGTATCTTATTTTCCTTTTGACAGCCAGCAGTGCAATCTTACGTTTGGGTCGTGGACCTATAATGGTAATCAGGTAGACATCATCAATTCTCTTGATAGTGGTGACCTCTCTGACTTCGTAGAAGATGTGGAATGGGAGATTCATGGTATGCCAGCAGTCAAGAACGTCATCACTTATGGCTGTTGCTCTGAGCCTTATCCAGATGTGACCTTCACACTGATTTTGAAAAGGAAGTCTTCTTTCTACATATTTAATCTGTTGCTTCCTTGCATTTTGATCTCTTTCCTGGCCCCACTGGGATTCTATCTCCCTGCAGACTCTGGAGAAAAAGTGTCTCTGGGTGTTACGGTTCTTCTTGCTCTGACTGTGTTCCAGCTGATGGTTGCAGAGATCATGCCTCCCTCTGAAAATGTACCTCTGATAGGTGAGCTTTACATGCTTTGTCTTTAAACGTGGCTAATTTATAGCAGGGCTGTATGTCAGGGAAATGTTATATAATTTGTGCAGTCTGGCAAGATAAAGATGATGCATTTTTAAAACTGAAATATTTAAAATGTGCCTGGAATTTTTACAGGTATGCTGCAGCTCTTTAAGGTCTTTTGTGTTTGTTTTAAATTATAAATTAGCTGCTATTTTGTATTTACTAAATATAGTTAGACATTTAGAATTATTTTATCACGTCTTGTAAAGGATTTTAGAACCAGCATATGAAGTGTGAGCACAAGTTGTAAGCACAAGGTCAGACTGTTTCAAAATATGTTTCTGTTAAGATCCAGATGGTTGGGTGGACTGGCTGGGACACTCAGGGTTGTCTTAATATCTGACACTTGTTACATTGAATTGCAATGCCTGGCAATGCGTTATGCTGAACTTTAATTTACACCTGAGAGTTCAGAAGAGCTGATGCGCAGTGAAAGAGTGGTGTCCTGTCTGCCATCTGCCAGGACTGGCCAGCCCCTTGGGGCAGGAGCCTGCCTGGCTGCCCTGGTGGGAGTTCTGGAGAACCAGTTGCCTCCACTCTGGCTTCCAGCTTCATTAAGATAATTCAGATCTCATTATTCTTATTCCTGTTATTGCTGAATATATAAAAAAACTGCATGGCTTAACTGAGACAAAACACTAGTCAATGAATAGGACTCTTGAATGCATTTCCCACACCAGCAGCAACTATTCCTACCTAGAATATGTGCTTGCTGGACTTTCCTTCTCTCCTATTGCACTGTCTAAATTAAGGAGCCAGGACCTAGCTTCAGTCTGCTTTCTCTATTTCTGTGCTCTCCCTCACCATCCTTTGCAACCCCTATGAAAACTGGGGTCGCATCATGTTTGTCTGTGGCACATTGTTTGTCATTGATGCCAGCCTGCATGAATGCAAAGGCATCCATCTGCTGGTGTGGAATGTGTCAATAGCTCCAACAAAGCGTTACCATCGCTTTTGCTAATACATCAGGAAGTGGGATTTCTAATGTGCCACGTGAAGCCATCAACATTGTGATTTTGAAGACACCAGGAAAAGAGCAAGGCTCCTGATAAACCTTTTTTAAGCTGCTTTCTGAATGGGTATATCTTGAGAAATCAGAGACTTTGGCTTGCAAATATTTACCATCCTAATACAGTAGTCACTTACTGATCTGATAAAGACATGCCAGTAATGACTATTGGATTTTACTTTAATGGCTTTAATCTTTGTTTTTAAATGATAAATTAAGTGTGATCTTAGTACAGAGAATCAGGGTGATTAAAAATTGGTTTCGCTTGCATTTATGTTTAGCACAATGTTGTCACATTATTTCTGCATTGAAGTTTTTTATTAGGGGAGCATCTTTAATATGATTTTATTTTGTGTTCCAGGGAAGTATTACATAGCAACTATGACCATGATCACAGCTTCCACTGCATTGACGATCATTATAATGAATCTCCATCACTGTGGCTCAGAAGCAAAGCCTGTTCCACAATGGGCCAGGGTGGTTATTTTGAACTACATGTCAAAAATCTTTTGTGTTTATGATGTGGGTGAAAATTGCACAAGTTCGAAAAGAGAGAAGGAAGAACGTAATTTAGAGGGGGATGATGGGTGTCAGAAGAGGCACAAAGAGGTAAGGAGTCACCTTTCCAATAGGAATGATGACTGTGATCTTAAGGAGAAGCTCAATGGTAATTTGAATAAAAGCTATGGAGTTCATGGTGAAAATGTTAGGGAGACTGTTAATTGCTGTTCCTGTTACAAAACACTGATTAAGAACATTGAGTATATTGCTAATTGTGTCCGAGACCATAAAGCAAACCGGGCCAAAGGAATTGAGTGGAAAAAAGTTGCAAAAGTAATGGACAGGTTTTTCATGTGGATTTTTTTTATCATGGTGTTTTTTATGAGTGTGTTGGTCATCGGGAAAGCAGCTTAACTGAAGATGAACACACTGATTTTGTAAATCTGAATATACTGGGTTAGCTTGTTTCAGCAGAGCTCTAGGACAGGAGTGCTTTTGAGATCTTTGTCTTGTGTTCTGTAACAATAAACATATTGATTCTGTAGGCTGGAACAGTATGTTGAGGCACTGCTCAGCTGAGGGCTTTGTTAGTGACTGTGCTTGCCTTTTAGTATGGGAGTGCAGCCCTGATGGATGCTGCTGGGTAAGTACTATGTGCTTCATCTTTATGGATGGTGGCCATGACTTCAGGCTGAGTGTAGCGAAGCATTGCAGTGATGGAGCAGACAGCCTAGCAGGGAGTATGGTATTCACAGGGCTGCATCTCTGCACCTTGTAAGTTGACCAGCCTTTTCTTTCCTGGAAAAAAAAAAAGTATTTGTGCCATGGTGGCAGTTCCTGGAAGTCATCCCTTCATGGCATTGCCTTATTTTTTCCTTTTTTAGCTTGTCTTCCTAACTTATCCTTTTGTTATGGCTATTTCTGATCACTGTTCCTATCATTTCATAGGCTCTGCCTGTCTATCTGCTGTGCCTTTCACTTCTAATACCATTGAGCTTCTTGAATATGATGGTTACCTTGATCTTCTCCTTACTAATTATTATTCCTGCTGTTGAATATTACCCAGTTGTCACCATGGCTTCAGTAAGTCAGGTTCCCAGGATTTCTTCCTCATCCAGAGGGTGTCTCATTTGTTCTCGAGCCGAATAATAGGAAGGGCTTCTCCTGCCCTTCCTAGATGTCTCATTCCCCTGGGCGTTTGTGCAAGATGGGCCTTTAAATGCTGCTTGAGACTGCTAAAATAGGAGGCTGTGACATTTGTCTCTGCTCATTTTATTGACCTTAACCAATGTTCACCCCGTGTGTCCTTGTCCACACTTACATAGTCTTTAATACAGAAATTTTAAACTGTTTACTGCTTGCGTTACGTAGCAAAAAGTATCTTAGAGGCTTATTAAAGTAGTGTTGTAATCAACACTACTTCTTCAACACCTTAATACTTACATGTATGTGAATGTGTTTGCCACTGTCAACACCAAAACCCCTTCTTCTGTGTGTTGCTTTCTGTTAACCCTCTCAGACTAATAGAGCTCTGGAAGATGTCATTTGTAAAGTGAGAAGCCAGCACCCCAGGCATGCCCATGGCTGATAAATTGTTTTTACAAAGCACCCTGAACTTTGAAACCATGATATTCTAGATGCAGTAGGAGAGGCAGAATGACACTGTAATGGATCCCAGTCAAAAGTTCATGTGATAAAGCTCATGTTCATAATTGTTGCAGTTAATAGGAGCATACCTGGGAAGCTGTAACTTAACGAGGAGAAGTCAAAATGACAAAGTGATGTCATTACGATGCCCAAATTTATTGGAAGAAAGGGAATTTTAATTATTATTATGATGTAAATTATACATTGAATTGCTAATGGCAGGTTTTCTTTTGTGTGTACACTATTAATGCTGTAAGCTTATCTGGATTCTCATACATAATGCAAGCTTTAAAGTCCAGGTTCTAATGTAAAGCTAAACTGGGTGGCTAGCCAAGAATAAACTCAGTATGTGGAAAAAGTCTCAAGTGTGTTCCCTGTATATTATCAGTTCCCAGTCAACCGCAGTAACTTTGAATAGCTCCTTTAGAAAACAAGCTGTTCACTTTCACTGTGCAGAAAAATGGTTGCAACCTATTTGCCATGGAGTTCAGGGTTTGGCACTTACACTGTCTGTTTGAGGAAACTGATTTGTTATTTGTTGTGGAAGAAAATACTGTTCCAAAAGCCTGGGGAGCGAAGTGTTTAAAGATAAGGGTAAAATTCAGAACATGAGTCTTCAGCATGGAAAACTGATAACCAAGGGTTTGTCTAAGGCTTGTAGGTGGCATAAAGAAAGAGTTACTGTTCACTGTCTCTTCCAATGTAGGAACTGGGTGCATCAAATATACATAGTGTGTGACAATGAAGAAGTCTGTACAATATGTGAGAAGGCTGAGGAACACCTTGGGAGTGCTGAAAGATTATATGGATTTAGAGAATTGGAGATAATGTGAAAGAAAAATCTATTGGCATACTGCTACTCTTTGGTTGTGCCCATGGTGTTCTGTTCAGAACAAGCTGCAGAATGTGGGTATACAGTTGTGGGCTTGCCATGTGTAAGGGAAAGTTTGAAGTCAGATGGATCATGGGTCTCTTTATCATGCTGGTGCTTCTCAGTATGCTGCACGCTTGGATGATGCTGCTGAAATCATACTTTGTACTTCCTTAGAATGTTTTATGTGAAGATGTGATAGTACTAAGGAATTCTTTTCCTTACAAGAATATGATTTGAAAATTATTCCTAACTATTTGAATTTATTAACTATTAGAACTGCTTTTTAATTATTTTCTATTATCCTTTTCTTTGGATCACCAGGCATTCTTCCTTTATTTACGTATGGTGAATCTTCATTTTGCTCTTGTAACAAACTTTTGGTTTTAGTTCATAAGAGCCAGATCCAATAAAGAATGTGAGCAGCAGATGATGTCAGCAGGTAGACGTTGGTACCTGAATTGTTATTGTCAAGCCTCATGCTAGGGCCCTCAGATTCACCTTTAGGGCCCTCATTCATCTCTGGACTCAATCATTTTCCAGGGTAAAATCTGATGCTGTGTGGCCATGTTTCTGGTGACAAGGTTCATGCTACTGCAGCCATATGAGAGCTAGCTGATTTAAAGCTAGCTCAGAAGTTTTTAACTAAACTGTAGGGGCTGTAGTTTAAGTGTCCCTCCAAAGTCTTCCGTTTGTGTATCTCTGTATTTAGTGATTTCAATAAGAAAAAAAATGGCTCTAAATCAGCCAAGCATGTTAACAGTCAGAACAGTATGTGACAACTCTAGTGCTGAGTGGAATGTTTAATTTAATTCCGTCTGTCCTGGTCTCTTCTTCTTTCCTATGTGTCTCTCATGCTTACATCCAGTAATTCTCTGAGGAAGATTAAATGATGATTTAATGATTAATTTGATGAATGACTACGATTATAGTAGCAGAAAAATAACAATTTAAGTACTTGTCTGAGTAACTCTGCAGGCTTAACATGAAGGCAGCAGTGTGACTATATTTTCTGAGGAGGACAATGATGCTGTAAAAACACTGAGATCTGTGTGCTACAGAGGCCTTTGAGGAATGAACTGACAGACTTTTTTGTTGTACCATCTCTTAGCAGAGAGATCACCTGTCCCTTCTTGTATGGAGTCATTGCAGTGTTAAAATGAGAAGAAATATAAGCTATCTCCTGTGATGCCTTCACTGTGCTTTCTTCCATGAGAAGGATTACAGAAATGAAGATGAAGTGTGATGGGATCTTGGGGTGTTGAGGTCCCAGTGGTGTAGAAGGGTGGGAGATGACCTTAGCTACCCCAGGAAATCTGTTTCTGTTTGTGGAAATTGCAGCCTGAGGATTCAGGCTAAACCCAAAAGGGTCATCCTGGAGGGTAAAGATATCTTGAAATAGAGAATTGGGTTTTTGCATGTTTCAGGAATTCAGATGTTACATTGTAAGCTATCTGCACGTTTTATCCTCTGGCTAACAAAGCTTTGTTCTCTGACCCTGCCAGAACTATGGGAAGTGTCTGAGAGTTGTTTTCCAAGAAGTGTAGGAGTGTAGCAAGAACTGATTGTGTGTTTCTGTCCCAGTTTGAGAAGTGTAAGACCTGTGATGTTAGGAGATGGGAAAAGGGGAGCATGGGATGAAAGGGCATTCCTTTCATTCTGTTTATAAAACTGGGAAGAATACATATTTTCTTACAAACTTCTGTTACTCATTGAAGAAAAGAATACATAGACTCCTGTTTGCATTCTTAAAATCATCAGTGACAGACTATGGGACCAAAGGTGGACTCTCGAGTTTGTGTGCAACCACCACTTTTGTACTTTCAGGCAAGGTGAGTAACCTAGAGCTCAATTAAAGGAGCAGAGCAAGCTGAATATCTCTTTTCTCACTGATTGGGAAGTTCACTAGAAAAGAGAAATCTTTCTTCTTTGTTAAAGACAAGTCCAGCTGTGTGGAAAAGACAAGAGGTAGCAGAGTAGTTTATCTCCTTTGTATTGTGCAAATTAGAGTTTCATTGTCTCCAGATAGCTTTTAAGAACTCCTTTCTGCAAGGTGGCAGTGAACAATACTGGTTTTACACTGCTTGCAGTAAGGAATAACTTGAGATTGAAAGTATCCAGCACGGGTTTGTTCTTACATGTTTCTTTCTATACTTTTTGGGCATTTGATTCCTAGTCTGTAGTCCACAGACCACTGAAGGTCTGCAAGGCCAGGAATACATGGCAATTGTTCCCTTGGGGTGCAGGGACTGACCTTGCAGCAGGCTGGTGGTGAACTAAATCATGCCATCCTTGGTCATGCACGGTCCTGTGTTGCTCTGGCTGGCTGTGACAGTGCCACATCTCCAGGTGTAGTTCTAGCCTTGTGTTTGCGAAGACAATTAGGGGTATCTGCAGCAGGACAAAATCCACATATAACTCTTCAGGGAGTGATATCAGTTGTCGAGGAGCATACCAGGGTGGAGTATGTGGTCTGTGCTTAATTTCAGATGCAGTTTTTGCAGAGAACTCTTTATGCCTTGGTCTGTTCTTGGGCACTCCTGCTTCAGAGTACATATCAATCTAGTGAACATCCAGAAGACACAGATTTAGGTTAAAAGAATGGCAGCTACAGTTTTAAAGGGGATTTTTTGTTAGAGTTCCTGAAAATATTTATTTAAAAAGTGATTCAGTACTATCTTCTAAGTAACCCACCTAGAATTACAGATTTTTTTTGAGGAGTCAGTATTGTTTGCTTTATCTTTACCTTTATCTTTACCAGGTTCTGTGTCTTATGACATTAACACAGCTACTCACAACAAACTTTTACCTCTGTTCGAAAGAACTTGAAACAGATTTTTATATGCCATTATTTTTATTCATATCTCTCTTCACTGAAGAAATTTTATCTGTGGTGTTAGGAGTTGCTGGGGACTGCACTCCACAAAGTCTGTTCTGCATTACCCTTTGGTTTGAAGAATGCATTGGTTTTGGTTACTCTGAATGCAGTGACAGAGCTGGCAAAGGAAGAGTGTTCGAGCACAGAATAACATGGTTTTAAAGATTGCTTAAACCTAACCCAGAATATTGTAGGCAGAGTGTCTCAGTGAATAAAATGGGTAAACTGGTATTCACTAGGTATTTGCTTGTTATGTGTCACCACTAACAGATAACTAATAGTGGTCTTAAATACTGCATAATAACACTATATTTTCTGTTTGTTTGCGAATTCTCCATTAACATGCTTAAGAACATGTTAGCAGGAAGTTATTGAGCCAATATTATGTGAACAAATAAAGAGTGATACTGTGATTAATGCATGCATCTAGTTCTGTTGTTAGTGTGCCATAGGTAAGTAATAGATCTGGCTCTTTTATTACTTCTGTATTTTCAGTTCTAGCTGAACACTACCAAGCTGCTCACTGTATTTCAGTGGCAGGAGTGCCTTTTGTTAGTGTTTTGCTTTAACAAAAATGGACTCTAACTAGAAAGTTAGATAAATGTTAGTGTCATCTGGAGTAGCCTCCAGAGGTTAGAAAAACACTTCACAGATAAAGCATTTTGCTAGAATGTGTAGTCCATGTTCAATGGTGATGAAAGTGATGATGTGACTTCTAGGGCCAAAGCTGGTTAGAGGAAGGCAGTAGACACATCTGTGTTGCAAAATAATGCTACATGGCTTTTGCAAAAGGAGGGTAAGGAAAGCGAGGGGAAAAACTAGCTAAAAATGAGGTAAAAGATGTAAAGTTACCAAGAGTCTTATTCATCAGCACCTGTGAGTGAGTTCACTAGAGCATGCTCTTGCTGTTGCATAGCTACTTCCATTTCACATCCTATTCGCTGGCCAGCCTTGTCCAGGGGTGAAGTGCCAGCATGTCAAACGCAGCTCCCACCCTGGGGCTGTATTGCAGCAGCAGGTCTGTTCTGGGGTAGGGGCTCAGTCAGGACAGGGGTGCTAGGTTATCCCAAGTCATGATGTGTCCAAGCTTGCACCAGCTTGTGAGTGAAAGGTGGGACCCTGAGAACCCACTGCCACTGTCTACTGGTAAACTAGTCCCACCTCATCCCTCTGCTCTTTTCCCAAAGGTGTCTGGTGGCCCTTAGGATGAAGATTATCACATATATGGTTTGGAATGTTGGCTTCCTCTGGGTTACTTTATAATTATAAATTCCTTCTGGCACCCACGTATATTCAAATCATTTTCTGCCAGCTCACCTGCTTTCTTGCAGGAAGTTGATAGATGTGCTTCTGACATGGTTTAGAGCTGTTTAAATGTATTGTTGTGTCCTGCATGTTATGCCCACTTTTGTTCAGCATGATGCTGCACAGGGTGACTGCCAATATCTGTGGTGAGTAAAACTTGTGTTGCTTTTATTCTAGTGTTTTTAGCACAGCTGGAAACAGAATGGTGATGATGACACAATCTTTTTCCTTACATCTAAAGGATAGGAATTTTTCATAACGACTTAACGCTAACATCACAAACCCAAGGGTACCCTGGCCCCTCACACACTTGCACTGAACCAGTAGCGTGGTGCAAGTGAGCCCAGGGGTCTGGTGTTCAGATATGGGCAAAACTTAATCACCTTCAGGTGTGTTGCCTTAGTTCTGCTTTTGAATGCTGTGTTCACGACCCTGCAGAGGTTGTTTGAACTGTAACAAAGAGCATTTCTCAGTGCCATGGTTCAAAGTGGAGTGAGCTGGACAAGTGCTTATTCGGCATAGCACCACTGAGCATGAATTCTCAGCAGTGCTTCAAGCCAGCAAGTTTTGAGTCATTAGGAGTATTACACTGGGACCCTCGGTTCCTGACGCCTCATCTGCAAACCAGCCTGGAGGTCCTGCCCCAGGGGAGAGGAGTAGAGGAGAAGGGTGGTGGTGTGAATGAGTCCAGGACCCAGATGTCTCTGTTGTAAAAGTCAGCACCTTGCAAAAAGCTCCTCCTGTGGAGACGGTTCCTCACCTAAATCCTGAGACCTCTAGGGGTCATACAAGTGCTATT